AAAAATAGCTATTGAATGTCTTTTAATTGCAACAATAAAAATCTGTGTAATACTTTTATTTTTTTTTTTTTGACAGAAGTATTATTCTTTTTCTGTCTTGAAATCTCCTCATAATTTTAAAACATCCAGCAAGTTTTGCGGTGTCTCCTGAGCAAACCAAAAAAAAAATTATTGGAACACTGAAAGACCATCGACACCCAACCTTTCACTTACTAAATGTCATTTCCTCAGCCTGCTTAATAGAAATTACTGTCAACAGTAATAACATGCGCATATCCGATGACTGATGTGACCAATACAAACCCCTGGCATATAAATGTTATACACATTCTTAGACTTGAAGCAGCTTCTGACACCATCATCGCCATAATAATCATCACTGTTCAAGAGATCAAACTAGACAAACAGACTTTCAACAAAGACATCGTATCAAAGCAGAAATATTTTTGCATTTCATAGAATCTAGTTTAACTGAACAGTGTTTCAAAAAGATTAGAAAACAGCTACTGAAATTATGATGAAACAATCCTATTAATAACATTTTTTGTACCAGATCATCAATCGATGAGAGAAGAACTGTCTGTTTGTCGTTTGCTGAAAACAAATTCTAGCCCCCTTTTTTCTTAGAACACAAATCTTTTACGATATTATTCCCTAATCTTGACTGAAAAAAAATCAAATCAATCTTCATCAAGTACAAACATATAATCAACTGTTAAGCAATGGTCAAAATGGATTAAACTTTTGGAGAAAGCAACCAGCTACAAGATTATCAGTTGAAAAAAACTACAGCATCACTGAGCAAACAAATTTTAACTGTTTCTTATCATTTTTCGAAGGTTACATCATTGCCGTTTCTTTACCGCCACTTCAACGCACTAATTTACTCATAAACAACTCCGACTTTTTACCATCACTTAGCAGTCACTAATCATTAGATAAAAAAGACAAATTTTTTGTGCTTAAACATAAGTAGTAGATTGGTCTTAAAATAGCTTAGGTATATTTAAAGCCTCACTGTGAAAAAAAACCAGTACTCGGCTTAACTATGAATTAGAGTGGTTGTCTTATTTGACAGTATTTATTCTGAACACGAGGGAGGCCCTTGTCCGATGAATGCAACTGGTGTCGCAAACGAATAAACTTCTTCTTCTTCTTGATGAGTCTAGTAAACACAACAAAACTCTGGAAGACAACTAGCTTAAAAGCCTTAAAAATTAGCCGAAAACTTCTTCTTTTTCTTTTCAAAAAGAATGATATTTTGTTGGTAATTGAAAACGTTTTAACGATAGCATAAATTTACTCGTGTTTTCTCAAGGTTTTTCTCATGAGTTACAGTAATCAACCTCCATATCGCCTTCATCTTCTAGAGTTTTACATTTGTTTTCCGAACTAAAAGAGCCCTCTTCTCTTTATCAGTTTTCTAATCCTAATTGATTTTTAACGACCAAATCGTTTACTTACAGCTTTCCCAGCTCTCATAAGCTAAAAACCTTCTCTTTTCTTTTTTTATTTAAACAGCTTTTAGAATAATCAAGGGCAACTTTTTTTTTTGTTCTGAAAATAAACTGTGTAACAGTGTTGAGCATAAGTAAAGTTTTTAGACAGCTCACAATCTTTTTTCCGCAACACATAAGCCATCATTAATCAATTGCTCAACAAAAATACAGAAGAAAAAAAATAAATTAATTTAAGTGCTGTAAGAAAATAAAAATGAAAAAAAACAAAAACAAAGATGAATATCTGCCACATATACACACCGTTTTCGTCGGGCTGCCATTGTCCCCGCTGTTCTTGTCTGCCTTCTCCCTCCTTTCCTCTCTTTGCAATAAACCTCTTTACCCTTCCATATTCTCTGTCAGACAGCTTCTCAAGCATCTTGATTAGCTTCACAAATGTCAAGTGACAGTAAAACAAAATTGAACAGCAACGCCACTGACGACAACAACAAAAATTTTCAGGATCCAAAAATACACGCTAGCAAAAAAAAAAAAAAAAAAACTATGAAAAAAAACCAACTGCGAAGTATTTGGGTTACATCAGTACTGCGAAATTTTTTTAGCTTTCAAACAAATTCTTATACTTTTTTTAACCCTTCAACTATCAATAAACGCAAACCAATGTATCACCCATCTCGTGCATTACTCATATATATATATATA